CCCATTAGATATGAAAGTGTATTATACCACATTGAGAAAAGGAAGGATAAAAATTATACAGTCACCTCAGTAGATGCAGAAAAAGCATTTGACAAAATTCAACATCCTTTTATGATAAAAACTCCCCCAACAAAGTGGGCATAGAGGGAACATACAAAAGCCACATATGACAAGCCCACAACTAACATTATACCCAGTGGTGAAAAGCTGAAAGCTTTTCTTCTAAGTTGGGGAGCAAGACAAGATTCCCACTCTCACCCCTCCTATTCAACATCATATTAGAAGTCATAGCCTGAGTGGTTAGGCAAGAAAAAGAAATAAAAGGCATCCAAATCGGAAAGGAAGAAGTAAAATCATCTCTATTTGCAGATGACAATATTATATATAGAAAACCTGAAAGACTTCATCAGAAAACTGTTAGAACTAATAAATGAATTCAGTAAAGCTACAGGGTACAAAATCAGTATACAAAAACCAATTGCATTTCTATATACTAACAATGAATTAGCAGAAAGAGAAATTAAGAAAAAAATAAAATAAGAAAAGAAAAAAAGAGTAAAATATTTAGGAATACATTTAATCAAGGAGGTGAAAGATCTGTATGCTGAAAGGTATGACATTGGTGAAATAAAGTAAAGACAAAAAATGGAAAGATATTCTGTGCTTGTAGATCGGAAGAATTAATATTGTTAACCTGTCCTTATTACTCAAAGTGATCTACAGATACAGTGCAATCTCTATCAAAATTCTAATGGTTGGGACGCCTGGGTGGCTCAGTCGGTTAAGCGTCTGCCTTCAGCTCAGGTCATGATCCCAGGGTCCTGGGATCGAGTCCCGCATCGGGCTCCCTGCTCCGCGGGGAGCCTGCTTCTCCCTCTGCCTCTGCCTCTCTCTCTCTATCTCTCGTGAATAAATAAATAAAATCTTTGAGGAAAAAAAAAAAATTCTAATGGTATTTTTCATAGAAATAGAACAAACAATCCTAAAATTTGTGGGGAACCACAAAAGGCCCCAAATATCCAAAACAGTCTTAAGAAAGATAAAGGTGGGGAGCCATCACCCTTGCTGATTTCAAACTGTATTACAAAGCTGTAGTAATCAAAACAGTGTGGTGTTGGCATAAAAACAGACATATAGGTCATTACAACAGGTTAAAGAGCACAGAACCCATGCATATTTGGTCAATTAATTTATGACAAAGGAGCCAAGACTACAATGAGGAAAGAACAGTCTCTCAATAAATGGTATTGGGAAAACGGGACAGCCACCTACAAAAGAATGAGGCTGCCCCCTCTCTTATACCATACACAGAAATCAACTCAAAATGGATTAAAGACTTGAATGTGAGACCTGAAACCATAAAACTCCTAGGAGAAAGCATGGGGAGTAAGCTCCTTGACATCATTCTTGGCAGTGATTTTTTGGATTTGACAGCAAAAGGAAAAACAAACAAGTGGGACTATATCAAATTAAAAAGCTTTTGCACAGTAAAGGAAACCATCAACAGAATGAAAATGCAACCTATGGAATGGAAGAAAGTAATAAAGTCATATATCTGATAAGGGGTTAACATCCAAAATATGTAAAGAAGTTATATAACTCAATAGGAAAAAAAAAAAAAAAAGCAAAATCCAATTAATTAAAAATGAGCAAAGGAACCGAATAGACATTTTTCTAAAGATCTACAAATGACCAACAGGTATATGAAAAGTTATTCAAAATCACTAGTCGTCTGGGAAATGCAAATCAAAACCACAATGAGATATCACCTCACACCTGTTAGAATGGCTAAAATCAAAAAGATAAGAGAGAGGGCGCCTGGGTGGCTCAGTTGGTTGAGCGACTGCCTTTGGCTCAGGTCATGATCCTGGAGTCCCTGGATCGAGTCTCGCATCGGGCTCCCTGCTCGGCGAGGAGCCTGCTTCTCCCTCTAACCCTCCCCCCTCTCATGTACTTTCTCGCTCTCTCAAATAAATAAATAAATCTTTAAAAAAAAAAATAAAGTAAGAGAGAACCAATGTTTAGGAGAATGTGGAGAAAAGGGAACCCTTGTGCACTGTTGGTGGGAATGTAAATTGACTAAGCCACAATGGAAAGCAGTATAGTGGATCCTCAAAAAATTAAAAATAGAACTACTATATGATCAAACAGTACTCTTCTGGATATGTATCCAAAAGAAATGCAGACAGGATCTTGAAGAGATAATCTGCATTTCTGTGTTCATTGTGGCATTAATTCACAGTAGCCAAGATATGGAAACAGCCTAAGGGCCTGTCAATGGATGAAGGGATAAAGATGGATTAAGATGATGTGGCATGTATATATGAACATGAAATACTATTCATGTATGAGAAAGATGGACATCTTGCCATTTGTAACATGGATGGACCTTGAGGGCACTACGCTGTGAAATAAGTCAGACAAAGAAAAGTACTGTGTAGCATCACTTAATGTATGGAATCTAACAAATCAACTCAGAAACAGACTAGAATGGTGGTTAACGGGGCCAGGACTTGAGGGAAGAGGGGAGATGTTGATCAAAGAGTATAAACTTTCAGTTACAGGATGAGTAAGTCCCGAGGATCTAATGTGCAACATAGTGATTGTAGTTGATAATATTTTATTTTATACTTGAAAGTTGTTAAGAGTAGATTTCAAATATTCTTGTCACAAAAAAGAAACAGTAATTATGTGACATGATTCAAGTGTTAGCTGTAGTGGTGATTTTGCAATATATGTGTTTTAAATAACATTGTACACCTTAAAGTTACACATTGTCATATGTCAATTATTTCATGATAAAGCTGGAAAAAATGCAATGCTACAGTAATTAAAAATGTGATATGACTCATGACTTGATAGGCAGATAAGTGAAAGAGTATAGAGCTTCCAGAAATAGCCTCAACACATGTAGGAATTTAGTGTTTGGAGAAGGTGGTGTTTCATATCTCCAGGAGAAACATGGATTATTCAATAAATGTATTAGTATATGTGCTGCCGAAGTGAGCCCTCAATAAATGTATTAGAAAAAACTATTAGACATTTCTTAAAAATTTAGATGTGGGAAAGGCTTTTCTATGTATGATACAAACTGAGAAGCCATAAAAGTAATATTGATGTTTGTCTTTATAAAAGTAAATTTGTACATGGCAAAAACTGCCTGAAACAAAATAAAAAGTCAAGAGTTCAACTAGGAAGAATATTTGCAACTCATTGCAAATTAAAGTCTAATTTCCCCAATAGATAAATAGCTGTTTCAAATCAATTTTAAAAATCCAAGAGTGAGTAAAAACGTAGGTAAAGAATACAGATATAGTTCGCAGAAAAAGTGGCATTTAAATATATTATAAGAATATGAAAAATACAAAATAGAATTCATTCATAAGAAAGATACAAACTTGGGCACCTGGGTGGCTCAGTTGGTTAAGTGACTGCCTTCGGCTCAGGTCATGATCCTGGAGTCCCGGGATCGAGTCCCGCATTGGGCTCCCTGCTCGGCGGGGGGTCTGCTTCTCCCTCTGCCCTCTTCCCTCTCGTGCTCTCTGTCTCTCATTCTCTCTCAAATAAATAAATAAAATCTTTAAAAAAAAAAAGAAAGATACAAACTTAAGCTCTACTGAGATATTTTTCTCCTGTCAGATTGGCATAGATCCGTGATTTTCAATTCTGGGTGCACATTGTAGTTACCTAGAAGTATTAAAAAAGATACTAATAACAGTCTCCAGGTCAAATACTCTCTGAGTGTGTCATCGGCATTGTTACATCTTTTTTTTTTTTTTAATTTTTTTTTATTTATTTGAGAGAGAGAGAATGAGAGAGAGAGCGAGCATGAAGGGGGGAGGGTCAGAGGGAGAAGCAGACTCCTCGCTGAGCAAGGAGCCCGATGCGGGACTTGATCCTGGGACTCCAGGATCATGACCTGAGCCGAAGGTCGCTTAACCAACTGAGCCACCCAGGCGCCCGGCATTGTTACATCTTAAAAGATTCCTAGATGATTCTCACATGCCGCTAGGGTTTAGAACCATGGGCATAAATTTAAAAGCTTGGTGGCTTACTATGTTGATAGAATAAAGGGAAAAAGTTGTCTCTCATGCATTGCTGTTATGTGTAAATCTGTCCAACTTCTATGGAGGGAAATTGGCAGTATTTTCAAATTTACAAATGCATGCTTATCCTTTGACCTCATTCCCTTCTAGATATTTTCTTATACTTGCACAAGGGCAACTTTGTACAAGATTACCCACTGTAGCATTATTTGTAAAGCAAAAAAACTAGAAATATTCTAAATGTCCATGGGTTAGGTAACTACTTAAACACATTATGCTAGCCTATTCAATTGAAGTACTGTCCTGCCAAAGAAAGCACAAGGAAGCTCTTTATGTACTGATATCAAATGGTTTCTAAAACATGAAATGAAAAAGCAGGGTACAGAAATCCATATTGTGCTACCATTTGTGTAAGAAGGAAGGAGGTGCATTTATTTGCTAATGAAGGTATAGGACATTATTGCAGAGATACACTAGAAGTTGCTAATTGCATTTGCCTCTGAGAAGAAGAGCTGGATGACTAGGGGCAGAAGTGGGTGGGAGACTTGTAAATTGCACAAGTAGTAAGTGATAGAGCTGGAATTTTGAATCTTGGATTCCAAAGAGGGTGTGTTTCCATCCCTCCTCCTCCTACAAATAACTATATACAAAGGCTTTCAGAATTCTTAAGACCTCTTTACTTTCCATTAGTCAGGTATAACTCTCTTTCATACAGTTCACAAATACCGTATATTGCAGTGTTTTCTTTAAAGTGTAGTACTTTGAGATACTTCAAACTTGAATTGAAATGAATTGTTGCCTGTCATTTTATTTCTTTAAAGCTCCAAACTAGTGGTTTTCTGCCAACTTACATCATCCAGTTTGCCCATAATTGCATTAATTTTTTTAGAGGAGGATATTGGGGAAAACAGCTTTTGTCTTTTATAGAAACATTAATTTTTTTTTTTTTTTAAGGTTTCCGTGGGTGAACTACCAAGATGACAATCTCAACATTTCGATTCCAGTGTTTAGTATTCATGGCAATCATGATGATCCCACAGGGGTAATTATTGGGTTCTTACAGTTTGTTGTCACTTTAGTTTGTGGAAAGCATTCTTGTCCTTCCCAGAAATTTTTAGTCAAATTGAGTCAGAAAGTCAAGTTGACTTTGTATCATTTATATATATAAGCTTTTATACTGCTTTTTAGATAATTTTCTAAAATCTGGATTATAATTGGTGTGTGAGGTATGCTTTTATTTCATTAGTGCTGAAGTTAACAATAAGTAACCAGGAGTAGGAATGAATACCTAACATTTGTATAAAACTTTATAGTTTACCTGGTGTTTGTGTCTCTTATCTCAAAATCTTACCTGTAGGAAATGATTTCTCATCAAAAGTTTTAAATCTAAATTAGATCATCTTACTGCCTGTTTGATGGGGAAGCAATAATAGAGGGTCCTGCACTTAAAATATCTTTTTGTTTTATCTGATCATTAATATCATAAATCATTAGTTGCCTAGTTTTTTTTTTCCCCATGGCTTAAGAGGTCTGCTTAATATTACAAAGCACTTAATTCAGGGTTGGTTTTTATTAATTAATTTATTTTTTCATGCTGGTCTTGAACTCATGCCTCTGAGATCGAGACCTGAGCTGAGATCAAGAGTGGGACATTTAAACAACTGAGGCACCCAGGTGCCCCTGGTTTTTATTTTTGGTGGCCAAGACATCATAAGTTTTTTTTTTTCGTCAAGATTTTATTTATTTATTTGGGGTAGAGAGAGCGAGAGTTGAGTATGAGCAGGAGGAGGGGCAGAGGGAGAAGCAGACTCCCCATTGAGCAGGGAGCCTGACGCGGGGCTCGATCCCAGGACCCCAGGATCATGACCTGAGCCAAAGGCAGATGCTTAACCAACTGAGCCACCTAGGTGCCCCACATCATAAGTTTTGATGAAATGTTAACTGTGTATTTAGCACGTGGTTCCAGTTGCAGTAGGTCATTTGTAATTGAAGAAAGGTAGCAAATACTTTTGCTATTGTAATTTTGTTTTGAGAAGGCACTATCTTAATCTGTTTTAGTATATGGAATATACTTTAATAGATAATAATGTGATATGTAGATTACTTCTTTTTAGATATACATTAATATTCTTTGAAAATATTTTGCATAGGCAGACGCACTCTGCGCCCTAGATATTTTAAGTTGTGCTGGATTTGTAAATCATTTTGGACGTTCAATGTCTGTGGAGAAGATAGACATTAGTCCAGTTTTGCTCCAAAAAGGAAGCACAAAAATTGCTCTATATGGCTTAGGTAAGATGATTTTATTTTACTGTTTATGTCAATAAATAGTTGCTTAAACAACAACTGAAATCAAATTCTGGAATTAACTTTGTTGATGTATGGAAAAAAGTGAGGCCATTCTAATTATTCCTGATAAGTGACTATAAAAAATGATAGAAGGTTTTGGTTGAAATTTTTTGTGTTTAATAAGGACCACTATTCCTTGATACTTCTTTTAATAGCAGTGTTGGTTAAAAAAAAATTCCTTTAGTTTCTGTTGTTGATTTTTTTCTTTCTTTTAGACTCAGATATAGAATCCCGAATGTTAGAATTATAGAGTAATTTGAAAAGCTGCATTTTGGTATCTTGGAAGTCTTTGAAATGTCTGAAGCTTCACTGTCCAGTACAATAACTACCAGCTTCATGTAGATACTGAGCACTTGAAATGCGGCTGGTCTGAATTGAGATACGCTGTAAATATAAAATCACAGGAGATTTCCAAGACTTAGAAAAAAATGTAAAATACCTTATTAATATATTAACTTAAATAAATTAATTTCACCTGTTTCTTTTTACTTGTTTTAATATGGTTATTAGAAAATTTAAAATTACATATTTGGCCTGCTTTAGAGGCTCTCATTGTATTTTTGTTAGACGTTGCTAGCTCAGAGCTGTCATCTGTAATGCTCAGAATATTTGCTTTATCAACATGGCTATCTTCAATTTATTTAGTGTCCAGTAGGTAAAAACCTATTTGCTAGGCTTGATTCCATATGAACAAAAAATCAAAGAATATTTAATTTAGAGTGCATTCAAAGTCTATTTGTTGAGTCTTCCTTGGATTAAGTTCAGCTTGATATTTTGTTTTATGAATGCTATAGCTTTGCTGTTTTTATTGTGTATAATTTTAAAAATTATATTCCATGTTAAATCATGGGCCCTGAGAGAAATTAGGAAAAATTTCACACTGTAGCCTTAACATAGTTTTTATATTTTTGAGTGATTTTAATATAATAGAAGCTTAGGAGACTTTATTTACTTCATTCAAGTCTCTATGTGTATGTGTGTGTATATTTTATTTTTAAGATTTTATTTATTTATTTGCCCAACTGAGAGAGAGCACAAGCAGGGGAAGCAGGAGAGGGAGAAGCAGACTCCCAGCTGAGCAGGGAACCTGACTGGGCACTCCATCCCAGGACCCTGAGGTCATGACCTGAGCCAAAGGCAGACACTTAACCGACCGAGCCACCCAGGAGCCCCTCTTTGTATATGTTTTTTAAAAGAATAATTATGATGGGTGGTTTATGTAAATACTTACCCTAGGGAACTTTTACAGTCTTTGTCCAGTTTTCATGATTTCTTTCTTTCTTTTTTTTTTTAAGATTATTTATTTGAGAGCGAGAGAGAGAGCACAAGTGGGGTGAGGGTCAGAGAGAGAAGCAGACTCTCCGCTGCGTAAGGAGCCTGATGTGGGACTTGACCCCAGGACTCGGGGATCATGACCTGAGCCAAAGGCAGACGCTTAATGACTGAGCCACCCAGGCACCCTCATGATTTCTAAAAAGTAGAAAAGCATCATGGTTATCTATATTTTAGAGAGAGGGAAAATGAGATCAGAGTGTTATGTCTGATTTTACAAGTGGTAGAGCAAGAAGTGAAATATACTTTTTCAAAAGATGCTAACAGGTGTTTTAATCACTGCAGTGCTAGGGATCATATCTGCAGAAAATGGGTGAGCTCCTACTTTCAGACTAAGCCAGATCCCAATATGCCTCAGGCACTGCCTGGAGCATTGTTCAGGTCATCCATTTTCTCCCAAACTCTCATTTCATCCTGTTCTTTTCTCCTTAACTGGATTCCACCCCCCACCCCCCATTCTCACCCCAGCCCTCTCTCTACAGTTAACAGATTCCCACATTTCACGTTTCTTCTCTACTCCCGACCTACAGGGAAACTGACTGATCCCTAAGGTTCTGTGTCCCACACACTTCTGTCTGGCTTCTTACAGACTTTAAGGCAGAAGCGGGGGTAGGGGGTTGGGGGGAAGGAATCACTTATCCCCCTTCTCCCTGCTTGCCACTTCCTTTCCTGTCTATAAACACCCTGCCCCCCTTGAGGCTAATTGGCTAAACTGCCCTGCCCTTTCCCCTCAAATTTTTCACCTACCTACTTTCAGATTTTGTCAGTGTTCTCAAGGCTTCAACACCTAAGTAGATCAACCTTCTAATGCCCTGGACTTTGTATGTCTTGACTTTTTTGTTTCCAGTTTATATGTTCTGCATTCCACCATCTGTTCCATTGGTCACACTCTAGAAATTCTCTTTAAGAAGCTAGACTTTTTCCAGTTCTTGGCTTCTGCATTATTGGCTTTTCTTCCAGGGCCTTCCCTAATGACTGCATAAAGTAGCAACTTGTCCCCCCACTGATATTTGCCATCTTAGCATCCTTTTCCCTTTTATGATATTTGAAAGTGGAATTTATGTATTTAGTTGTTTTTTTGGCCTTCTCCACTAGACTAAGGTGATCCTTTGGGGTACAGGAAGAATTATTTAAAAGTCATTATATTAATAAAAAGCATAATATCCTTATTTAAAAATATATATATAAGAATAGTGATCTGATACACACATTATAAAATAAAAATGTTAAAAAGAATGAGATAAAAAATAAGTGTATTTAAGTATTCTCATCCTTTTTAACATTTCTAGTTTATAATGTATATATTAGATCAAAAGTATGTATAATAAATAAAGGGATAGTGAAAAACAGTATTACTGGAAATTTTAATAAGAATTTAAGCATAGAAAACTTCAAATTTTCATGCCATGTTTTCCAGATTTTGAAGGTATGTATGCCTGGCATGGGAAACATTTTTTAAATTACAAGTGTCTTCTCAGCAGCTGTCATGCAAGAACCTGGAACACAATCATTTGTAAATAATGATTCCAGATTTCAAATATATCTCTAATAAGAAAATGAAATACTTGAAGAAACACATAATTTAGAAAGAAAACATTGATTTTTAAACCAAGTAAGAAACCAGTTTTAAAATAATGTCTGTTTCAGGTTCCATTCCAGATGAAAGGCTCTATCGAATGTTCGTCAATAAAAAAGTAACAATGTTGAGACCAAAAGAAGATGAGAACTCTTGGTTTAACTTATTTGTGATTCATCAGAACAGGTAAAAGTATTCTTTGGGAAAAAAATTTTTTTTTCTAAATTTTTGAGTCAAGTATTGAGGTCCCTCAAATCTCTGTTTCCAGGCTTCCATATTTCCATAAAATGTTCCTTATTCTTTGAAAGTTGTCAGTGCAGGATCATGCAAAACTTACATGTGCTTTGTGTGACTGCATTTTGAAATTGTTTCCAATAAATCGTATCTGTAAAGAATATTTATGACATATGGATAAGGCACAAGAATAACCATAAAATTGAATACTCTTAAATTCAGCAGAAAAGTAGAACATTACCAGTACATTATCCCATGCACTTCCTTGACCCCATCTCTTTCTACATACCCAGAGGGAAACACTATTTTTAATTGTATTTAATCAGTCTGTTGCTTTGCTTTATCATTTAATCACATCTATGTCTTTCACGAGTATTTTGTTTAGTTTTGGTTAAACTGGAACCCTGCTGTGTATTTTGTAGCTGGCTTATTATTTTCCACACTATATTACTAAGATTCATCCATTTTGATGCTTAAAAGCATAATTAATTTTCACTGATCTGTACAGTTACAGTTTTTCTTGTGTTGGTGAATGTTTTGTGTTATTTCCAGAGTCTTGCTTTTTTAAACCTTTTTGTTGTGAATACTCTTACATGCATCTCCTGATGCATAGATCAGGTGTTTTTCTAGAATATATTAAATGTAGCTAGATCAGCTGCCTTTTCTTAGCATTTTGAAGAAGTTTGATCTGTTGGTAGGGTGCAGGACTGATCGAAAGGACGGAAGACTTGGTGCAGGATGTATTGTGTGGTGACTCCAGTTAAAGTGTGGAATGACGGTAGTGATGGCGGTGAAACTGATGTGGAAGGGACAAACCTGAGAAGTTACAAGGAAGACTCCAGAGGGGTTTGGGCCTGACTGTATAATTTATTACTGAACAGATATTTATTCAGTGCAGAATACTCTGGTACTAAAGCCCACTAAGTGCCCCGTGAAAGAGAAGGCTTTATGAGGCAGCCTTATGTGCGCTCTCAAGCAGTGGGTTTCAAAGGAGGAGGAGCAGGCCAGAGTTTTAGTAAGTGCGGTCTCCCTGTAAGTTGGCACCACTGGGAGTTTGTTCTTTGACTCGCTTAGGGCTTCCCAGTTCTGCTACCCTTTCTACTATCCCAAAGTAGGGAAAAGTCAGAAGCAAAAATCATAAGTGACTCCAAGAACTTCAACCGGAATGAGAGGTGGAATGGCAGCATCAGGAATGGGAATGGGTAGTATGATGTTGATAATGGTTAGTTGCTGGTGATGATAACATTGATCATTTGATGAAGGTGGTGTATGCCAGGTTGCTCCAGGGTCAAGGTCCCATTTTCCATTTTGTAATTAATACTTTGGGAAAAATACTTGGAGGGTATATGAATATCCTGTTTGGCCTTAAAATTTTGCCCACTAATTTTAACATCTTTTGGTGGATCTCATTTCCAGCAATGAATACTGTGGTGTTGCAATTGTTGTTTTTTATTTTCCCTCATTCTTTTTGCATTTATTAATTGAAATTCTTCTATAAGGAAGATTTGTCCCTTCTCTCTCGTTTATTTGTTCATTTATTTATGTTGTTACGGACTTGAAGGATATTTATTTTATCCTTTGAGTTATAATCCAGTACTGTCAGGTTTTTTGTTGTTGTTGTTGCTCTAATTGTTCCAGTTTTGACCATTGAGAGTTCTTGTATTTTAGCCTCTTTGTCATTTCATCATGCCCTCTTCCTTTTTATTTATTTATTTTTGATCATGTCCTTCACTTTCTGGTACCACAAGATGCTCCAGGCTCATCTTGTATTTTGTACCCTAGCCCTGGAATCAACCACTTTTCCGTGGAGCCCTGATTGCCTTTTTTGGAGAACAGTATTTAGAAACCCAGATATGGCCGATAGATGTGCTTGTTGCAGCTGGGACTCTCTCAGCCCTCAGTGATCAGAGTTAAGGAAATATGTGTATATATCCTAACCTGTGAATACACATCTGTGTTTGTTAAAAACACACAGGCAAGCATGAGTTTGTAGTTATTTTAACCCAGCCCGACAGGGTTCATTTTTCTTTCTTCTCCCTTTTTTTATGTGGGAGTTCTTTCTCTAACAGAAACCTGGATCATATTATCTATAATATATTAATTTTTTCAATTTTGGTTGACATATAAGGTAATTTCAAAATTGCTGACCGGTACCCATGAGAAACAAATTTGCCAACTAGTGTTTACATAAGCTATTTTAGTCTTTAGCCTTACTATATCTAGTTAAAACACCACTTCTGGACTTACTTAGGCCATCTCCTTTTCCCCCAGCCCCTTCAACATGATTATGCAGTTCTTTTGTAATACCGTTAGGCTCATTTGTCACCTTCTCCATTCTTACGTACTTTTTTATTGCTTTCATGGACTTTTGAAAAACAGGGTTTGTCCTAGTGAGTGACTTTTCAGGAGCCTTTTATATTTTACTTTATTTCCAATTTGTGTCTATACATGGGCCGGTTTCTTTCTCTGGCTGAAAAAGAAAGTAGACTCTGAAGTGGAAGAGCACCTTATCATACAGAATATTTCCATAGGGATGTTTTGGTCAACTTTTAAGTCACAAATCAGAGTCAGCCCACCAGCATAATCTTCCCTCTTCCATGAAGAGTCGGTGCTCTATGAAGGCACAGTTGCGTCATATAGTATTCAAGTTATTCTGTGTTTCTTCAGTAACTGTGATTATGTCATACCCTAGATAGATGTTTTTTACATAAAAATATCCCTAGATACACGAGCCTGCAGCTTCTCTGATTTCACTTTCAGCTCTTCCTTGCATTCCTTCTGCTCTGCCATTCTCCTCTCCTTGCTGTCCTTGAACTCACTGAATACATTATCACTTCAACACCTCTGCCATCTATCTGCTGCAGGACTCTGTTCAGGACTCAGCCCTCTGCCGAGGACTGATCCTTTCTTCCCTTGCATGCTTGATCCCTCGTTGTGGTTCTTTGCTCATGTGTCGCCTGGCAGAGCGGCCTATCCTGACCACCCTCTGCATAGTAACATTCCCGTTCTGTGTCACTTCTCCCTTTATTTCTCTTTATAGCACTTACCACCACCTGACAGATTATGTATGAGTACACATGCACACACATGTACGTACTCCCCCACTAGCAAGGACTTTGTTCCCTGCTGTGTCTCCAGTATCTAGAAGAGGCCTGGGACACCTGGCACAGAGTAGACCTGCAGGAAATATTCTTGAATGAATGAATATTGATTTGCGTTAAGTGAATGTTAGGTTGAAGTATTTGATCACTTTTACTTAAATTCCCAGTGATAAAGTCAGTGTTAGGGAAAACTTCCTTCTTGTTTTTCCTCACTTTGGGTTTTCACATATCTTTTAATAATGACAACTAATCTAGGTATAAAACCGGAGTTTGCAAATCTTCATACAATGTTTTATTTAATATTGAAAACTCATCTCTTATGTAAGACTGAAATTCTTAACTCCCATTCTTACCAGTAAACAAACATGTTAAAAAATGGCTGGACATCTTTAGAAATTTGTTTTTATTCTACAAAGTTTAGACTTAACTCACTTTCATTTTCTGGCCGCCCCCCCACCTTACATATAGTCAAAGCGATTTATACATTTTCACTATTGATAGAGCTCGTGCTGCTGCTTTTCTGATTTCACTCCCAGCTCTTCCCTGCATTCATTCTGCTCAGCCACACTGTTGATGGAGTGCATGCTTTTCTGACTTTCCCTCTGTAAAGCCTTTTGCAATCGGCCTCTCAGTGTAGAATTGACCAGTTTCTCTCTTGCGGCTCCTACTTGTCTGTGTCCTGCAAGTTTGTAAACCTTTTGAGGGGAGGAATTAGGTGTTATCTTTGCACCCCTAATCCCTTGAATAGTTTCTGGCACAAATAAGAAATGTAATAAGGCTTTAATGAATGGAGAAAGAAAGATCTGTACAGCTTTACTTACTATGAAGTGTTTCTATATCTCTGGACATTTATATTTATTTTTTAAAATCTTGGTATAGGAGTAAACACGGAAGTACTAACTTCATTCCAGAACAATTTTTGGATGACTTCATTGATCTTGTTATCTGGGGCCATGAACATGAGTGTAAAATAGCTCCAACCAAAAATGAACAACAGCTCTTTTATGTATCCCAGCCTGGAAGTTCAGTGGTTACTTCTCTTTCCCCAGGAGAAGCTGTAAAGAAGTAAGTAGTTGTTTTGTTTTGCAAATCAATTAAAATGAAATTCTTGCTATAATCATCCTACAGGTTCAAAGTACTGATGGTTTTTTATATGATAGATTTCTTTATGAAGATTAGTTATTTGATGTAGTCTTACTATTTTCCCAGATCTTAAAGCCATTTTCAACAGGATAGCGTCCCAGTAGTGTTAATGATTTTGCTGCTCATTAGACATATTCAGGGCTAACACTTTTGCCAATTAAATTTCAAGTTAGAGTGCTATGGATGATGATTACTAATTTCACAAAGTCCATTTATAAACAGATTCACCTAAAGCCATTTAATTGAGATTTTTCTGGTTATAAATGCAACATTATAGCATATCTCATTTCTTTTCATTCTTTAGGGGAATTATATGATAAAGTAGTTAACAGTGATTAAGCCCAGTTTTTATAATGGATTTCACCTTTTGAATCCACTCAGATTTTGATTGTTATGATAATAATAGGTTTAAAGAATATGGTAGGATGTAAGTTTGGCTTTTTTTCTTCAGAGTTCTGCTAATTCATTTTATGCATGTGTGTGTACGTATATCCTCACGCATAATCTATGTATGTGTGATAGTCTGCACCATCGATACTACTGTCATAGTCCTGGTAACATGATGTCCTGCCTACTGTCTGTCTGTCTTCCCTCACTAAAGTGTTTGTTTGTTTAGGCAGGGAGGGATAAGTGGATTTTATTCTGGGGAAGAATGTTAACATTTTTTTCTGGTGATAAAACATTAAGTTGTTAAAAAAAGTTTTTTAAGAGTATGATTTTACAGAGAAATATTTTGTAGGAACTTAGAGATACGGTAGTTTTGGTGTGCACATTTTCCCAAGAAAATTTACAGAGTGACTAGGCTTTCATTTCCCTCCTCATTTCAGACATGTCGGTTTGCTGCGTATAAAAGGAAGGAAGATGAATATGCAGAAAATTCCTCTTCACACAGTGCGACAGTTTTTCATGGAGGATATTGTTCTGGCTGATCATCCAGACATTTTTAACCCAGATAATCCTAAAGTAACCCAGGCCATACAGAGCTTCTGTTTGGAGAAGGTAATTCCTCTAGATAAAGGTCAGTGAGATCTGCTTTAGCTGAGAGTTGATTTACATTGAATTAAATACTTCTGTAGAGTGGAAGAAGTCTTTGTACTTTAGTTACAGTCTCATGAAGCCCATAAGGAAGCACTGCTGTTCCATAAATGAGTTTAATTGTATCAAAGACATTTTTTTTAGTCTTGGAGATGGAAGAATGTTAAAGGTAGAAGAAACTTTGTTTAATTAAGCCCCCTCCCAGTTCCGTTCCTCTTCCTCAAAAACCTACACATAATCTTTCCTTTGTCTTTATTCTGATTTGATAATTTGTTCATTTTATTTATGAAAGCAGGTGGTGGCTTTGACTGGGAACGGGAGGATACTGTGGAGGATGAGGAAAGCCTTAGCATCTCTAATAATCTCTGTTAAGCATCCCTTTCACCCTGAAAAGTACCGCACATGAAATCTTTAAATGTCTCTGCTATGCGCCTTGTAGCTTCCGCATAAGTACCATACCTCACCTTCCATGCAGATTTGCCACCCCTGAACTTCTGAGAAATTCTAGAGCTGCTGCTGCAGTTGCACAAATGCACTTGATAATATGTAAATTGACAGCTTAATACCATTAATTGCTTGTAATTCTTACAATTATCACTGATATTCATCGATCGCTCATATATTCTGGGCACTGTTGATAGCATTTTGCATTTAATCCACTCAACAGTGCTGTAGGTAGGTAGAGCCTGTCATCTGCATTTTATGGAAAGAATAACCGAACCTTAGATGAAATCACTCACCCAGTGTCACAGCCTTCCCGGCAACATGTAACTCACATAGCTGAAAAGTTGAAGAGTATGCTGGTTTCAAGAGGACTAGACCCAAAAACTCATATTAAGACTGCAGTTTCTGTGTTTAGCCCCCATGACACCCGCTCTGTAGGTAGTTGTCTGAAGCTTCACCCTGAGGACAGTATGTCCACCGGGTGGCCCCCAGACTCACAAAGTCCTTAGAGCAGAAAGAACCTGTTTTCCCAGTCATTCCAGATCAACTCCTAGCACTGCTTTCTGTTAGACTGAGGTCATGTGTGTGTCCCTGGGATGTGGAAAATGGATTGATTGGTCAGGCCTATGTCAGGTCTCTCAGCCTTGACACAACTGACATTTTAGACTGGGTAATCCTTTGTTGTGGGAGGTTGCATTGTAGGAGTTCAACAATGTCCTCTCTGACCTCTACCCGCTAGAGTAGTGTCCTTCCCCCAAGTCATGACAATATTTTTATTTTGAGATTAAAGAAATGCTTGAAAATGCTGAACGAGAACGTCTGGGAAATTCTCGACAGCCAGAGAAGCCTCTTATACGACTGCGAGTAAGTCCTATGTAGATAAATTAAACTTTATTGATTTTCAGAGGGTAGTACTACACAGTTTACATAATTTTTTTAAAAAAATTAGTAAGAAGAGTATATACAGTAATAAAAGCAATCACTATCTGGCACCAGAAATAATAAAGCTGTCAGGATTTGATTTAATCATAGTTTGATTCTGATAAACTTGATTTTTTTTTCTTATTTTTTTCATTTTCTGAATAGTCTGTTGTTCTATTTAATAGGTTGGCCAAGTCTGACTCCATCTTTTACTCTCTCTCCCCCTCACTCCCTGTGACCTCCTGCAGCTCTCTACTCTCACACTCTCCCCTCATCTGTTCAGTGAGGCCCCCCAATGAGATGGCACCCCCATATCTGCTCACCAGCACTCCTGATTTCACTTACCCTCTTCTGCTTGTTCTTTTCTTTGTTCTCCACAACACATCCTCTTAACCTACTATATGCAATGTATTTATTTTGGTTATTGTGTGTCCTCAACTACAAAGCTGTAAGCTCCATGAGAGCATGGAACTTTGTGAATTTTGTTAACTAATGTATCCAGAGATCTCAGAACAGTTGTGGCAAATAGCAAGTGCTTGAGAAATATGTGGAAAGAATTAAGTATTTTAGAGTATTAAAAAATTTAAAGAAATTGAAGCGCTTTCTGTGCCTGGAAACCTACTTATTTGTTTCCATCATGGTATAAAAAAAGTAACAGGCCTCTTTTTTTTTTTTTTTGTCCCTCTGCCTTTTCCTTCAATTAGTTCTGCACCTGTCTTTTATTTTCTTCCAAACCCCTCGAAATACATAGCCCTTCCTACTCATTTAACATTCTGTTCCTCAGTCCACTATAAACAAGGCTCAAGTAGAAAAGATATTCAGTTGTCAAAGTGAGTAGCTTGTTTTCATCTGGCTGAATCACTCTTTGGCTTTCTTATCTTCGAGTTATGTTTGACCTGTCCTCTCTCTTAGCCCTCTTTTCAGCCTAGGCATATGGCTTTAAGGACCACCTATAGAGTGATGATGCCCACATCTTTACCTCCAGCTTAGACCTCCTTGTTGAGGTCCAAGAGCCACCCCACCCCCACGCCCCAAAGCCTGGTACTCAAGGAATAATCAAAACAGCACTGACATCACCTGGGAAACAATTACTGCTTTTATGTATTTATTTATTTACTTATAGAGAGGGAGGGGGAGAGAGAGCGAGAGGGAGAAGCAGAGGGCAAGGGAGAATCCCAAGCAGACTCCATGCCTAGCGGTCAGCCCAGTGAGGGACTCGATCTCACAACCCTGAGATTGTGACTGGAGCCAGAATCACAAGTCAGAAGCTTAACTGACTGAGCCACCCAGGCGCCCCTCATGTGGGAAATTTTTTAAAATGCAGAATCTCAGGCCCTATATCAGACCCACTGAATTGCATTTTAACAAGATCCCTAAGAGATTTGTATGCACATTAAAATTTGAGAAACTCTGGGATATATAGTGTGAAGATAAAGGGTATAGTTGAGAGCCAGAATGCCTGGGTTACTGTATGACCTTGAACAGTTGGATCTTTTGTCCCTTGGTTTGTACCTCATAGATTTACAAGATCAAAATGAATTAAATATTACCTGTTGCACAGTAAGTAATCTGGTCCTTTCTGTCTATCCCATTGTCATTGCTGAAGTTGAACCCTGATTTTCTCTTATCTGGCCTATAAATGCAGCTTCCTTCCTGACTCTGCCTTCAGTTTCTCCCTCCCCCCCCACCTCTAGCCTCTTCACACTAATGCCAAAGTCATCTTTGTAAAAAGACTTTGTAAAACACAGTCTTGCATGTCTTTCCTGCTGAAAATGACTTAATGATCCCCTAGTTAATAGGAACAAGTCTTGCATGGCATTCAAGGGTTTACATGACCTGGTCAAAACTGACCTCTTTGGCTTCTACCTCCTTTTTCTGTGAGAACCTGCTAAGTTCCAGCTATATTAGACTAAAAGTTACTGTTCCCTGGGTCCAGTGGAGTTTATTTCACTCTTTTGTACCTTAGCCCATGCTGATCCTGCTGTGTGGAATGTGCTTCTCTCCTTCCATAGCATGTTCTTCAACATCCACTTAAAGCTTTCCCCTTTTCCAAGAGCCTGTCTTGACCTCCCTTCAGAATCAGTGCTTCTACCTTTGTGCCCTCGGTCTGCTTTGTATGTACTTGTTAAGTACCATTACCATTCTGCTTGTACTTATTTATTTACATGTTTGTCCTCCCAGTCAGCTTGTGAATTTCTTGACAACCAAGATTATACTTCTTTATGGCTGTATCCCTGGCCCTTAGCAGAATGCCTAGCACATTGTGGACTCCTCAGTAAAGTTTGCTTAGTGAACGAGTTTTGTGACTCTTGGGAGCAGAAAATTTTACAAATCAACCTAAGCTGGAGTATCATTGATAAATGTATAGAAGAGTTTTGGGGAGACCCAATAACCTGAGCATTTAGCATTTTCTGTTTTATAACATGGTTGCTGTAGAGATGTAATACATAGTTGCTTTGGGAGAACCACATAGTTCTCTTTATCTGGGCAAAAGATCCCATGTCTGCCTAATACCATTAGAACCAAGTACAGTTAAATAGAAAATTGACATTCCTTTTGCTAAACACAGTGAATTATTAAATCAGTCATGAAACAAAAGAGTAGGTGTTTTCATTAGTAATAGTCCAAAAGTACATTGTATCAACTAGGGGGCTCTCACTAATTTTATGATTCAGTAAACAAATACTTTTTGAGTACATTTTGTTCTGCATGCTGGGGGACACAGTGATGATAAAACAGAGGAGGTTTTGAATTTATGGGGCTTATGGGAGGTGGAGGTGTGAGGAGAGACATAAAAAATAGGTAGCAGCAAAATGCCAGCCAGTGCTAAGTGTGATGAATAGTGTAAACTGGGTGGAGGTTAGGGGAATTTGGATAGGCCAGTGGTGCGGTACGATGCTGGTTCCCAGAGTCTGTTTTTAGAACAGCTAGTTTAGGGAAATGATTATTATCTCTTGGGAAAAAAAAATGTAGTATGCATTTCTCTTTGGAAAGGTCTCTGTATGACTATAAATTTCTTAACTTAGAAAGAGCCTGCCTTGAGAGGGACTGTGACTTCTAAATAGATACTGTGCTTTGAAGGTAATCATTTCTCAAAGCTAACACATTGGTTTCTTTTCCTGCATGGCTTTTCCAGCATTTCTTTGTTAGTATGAAAGTATACCCCTAAGATGATAGACCAATTAACTAAGCATCTAGGGCTGGCATTTTATTTTAGGAGAGAATTTTCTTTCTGTTTTGAAAGTTTAAGTATTTATGTTTAGAAATCTCACTTCCTTTCCTGGTGGTACTCCCAGTGCCTAGGCTTTTATCTTAATGTTACCATAGGGGGATGTAAACATTCAGACCTTGTGGGAATTCTTGATGTATCTTGGGTCCATCGTGCAAAATGTCTCGTGTAAACTCATAAACCTTTGAAGCTTTGTTTTCTCAACAGAGTAAAAGGTCTAACACCATCATGATCTTTAACATGAATTGTAGAACATATATTAGCTTTAAAGTATTGAGCATAAACATAAATAATGAAATTGGTAAACTGTTCTAGGCCTTAATAGCTTATTTTGTATTTCCAGGTGGACTATAGTGGAGGTTTTGAGCCTTTCAGTGTTCTTCGCTTTAGCCAGAAATTTGTGGATCGGGTAGCTAATCCAAAAGATGTTATCCATTTTTTCAGACATAAAGAACAAAAGAAAAACACGGGTAAGCTAGTTATTTTCACAAATTAAAAAATGCTTTTTATAGGGTTTACAAAAATCAGTCTTTAGTAAAAGAAATAGAAAATGATGAAAATATTTTTATATGATGATTTCTAGTATGTTAAGCTGGCAGTTGGAATAATTAAATCGCATGTCTTCTAAAAATTAGCAATCATTTTAAACCTGTGGATAACATTAAAGAAAGGGAAGGCTTTCTCTGGAGATGCAATTTTTAAGAACAGTGCTGCTGAGTAACAGTGCACACAGACTTTAAAGATTTATTGCTCAAAATATATATTATTGACTATACATTATTAGTGTTCAGAGAATATACTCAAATTTTGCATCAAATACTTCAACTTTTGAGTATATATGGTTTAGGAAGACTGCAGTCTTTTGGAATAAGAAGTATCTCATAGTTTGATGTTTCTCATGATCAGATAATTAATTCCTAATTAAATTTCATAAAAACTAATTGCCCTCAAGTGTGTTTATAAAAATAGGCCATCCAGCTGAAATAATGCTTTTTATAAGAAATGTTGATCATGTTAAATATAGAGCCTTTTCTTAAAGCTATTAAGTCAGAGAACTTTTATAGAAAAATATGGCCCTTGTTTTATAGGTAAAGCTACTTAGGTTTTTTTTATTAATAAGCTTCGATTTTCAGTGTCAAATTGTGACCAAATTCTGTGTGCTGTTAACTCAACCTGAAACATTCGTTCAGATATTTAAATGGAACTCATAAAATACTCTTTTAGGAAAAAATCCTTATCAGATAATTATTTTCTTATGCTATGAATTTTAACTAATTACTCATTGATAGTGGTTTACTTTAATTGTCCATCCTTATCAATCCATTGAGATTTTATGGGTGTAGTGTTCATAATAATACAGAATATAGAACTGGTACGTTGTTACTTGAGTTTCATACATAGTCAGTTTTGTTCTAATGATTCCTTTTTGGTTTAAACATAAATTGCTACGTGGAAACAATAACCCTTTTGCGTGTTTTATTGAAAGCATTTTTTGTTATTTTGGTCAGCTCTACTTCTCAAGTACCTGTGTGACATTGTACAATTTACATAAGCTCTCTGTTTGATCTTCTTGCCTGTGAAATCAGGATAATGACTGAGCCTGCCTCATAGAGTCGTGGTGAGGATTAGATGATATAATGTGTGTAAATAGTCTAAACATAGTATCCGGCATCGTAAAATGTAGTGATCGTACTTAGGAAGTTGTATTAATTCTACTGTCTTGAGATTTGAAAAAGATTTCCGTTCACTTGTCTTCAACACTTTGCAAGAAACACACTGAACGTTGTGCTTCTTAACCCTCCAGGCCATGGCACATAGTTTTCCCTCTGCCTCAAGTAGTTTTTTCTTTTTCCTGTTTTGCTTAGTGAATCTTATTCATTTGGCAAGCCTTGATTCAAATGATAGGTGCATTTGATACCTGCACATTATTTTCAACCTTTCCTGAGAAGAATTAGGTTATTTCTTCATGTGTGTCATACTCTCTGTTTTTACCTCTCGTAGCATTTCCCACCTTTATTGTAATCATTTGCTCTTACGGGCAGGGATCCTGTCTTTTCACCATTGTGTTTTCATGGCCAGGTCCAACATCCGCTGGACAGTTAATATTTGTTTTCCTGACAAAGATTATCAGCAGAGTAGGTCCTGGACCCTCAGCTTCTTGGCTTCCCACTCTGTACTCATTGTATTCTTTACCTGCTATGTGTGAGACAGTTCTCCTGCTTAGGAAAGCAGCAAAAGTGCTGTAAGCATACATCCCATTTGTCTCACAGAATATTAAAAAGGGCTGAGATTTAATTAAATGAATAATTTCTACAGTTTCATCAAGGACATTCTTTTTTTTTTTTTTTTAAAGATTTTATTTATTTATTTGAGAGAGAGAGACTGAGAGAGAGAGAGCATGAGAGGGGGGAGGGTCGGGAGGGTCAGAGGGAGAAGCAGACTCCCCGCCGAGCAGGGAGCCCGATGCAGGACTCGATCCCGGGACTCCAGGATCATGACCTGAGCCGAAGGCAGTCGCTTAACCAACTGAGCCACCCAGGCGCCCCATCAAGGACATTCTTAAGTGAAACTGGCTTTCTTTGTTTTGCTTTGAGCTGTGCAGATGTGGTGGTGAGTGTTGTACAGTTCCAAGCCATTGCCTTGACTTATAATAAGGAACCAGCGATTGTAGCCACAATTGCTTTTGTATCATCAGGGCAAGTGGCAATGTAGCGGAACAGGTAAATAGCATCTTGGTGTCGTTACGAAAGTTTGGGCCCTGAGCATTCCCTGAAATGGTCTTGGAGAACAGAGGTCTGAAGATCACCCTTTGAGAGTAGCTATAGGAGCCAAGACTTGGAGATAGGAAAAGAAATACACATTTTGAGGAAAAGACTGCGGCTGTTAGCAATAATGCCATGTGTTTGCCTCAAAATTTGCCACGTTGAGCAAGCTGATCATTAATCCAGTTTGGCCATACCTCCTGTACTGAACCAAACCTGCCATGAGTTGGGGCACTTTTACACTGTCACAGAAACTACTATTTTTCCACGGACTTCTTTTTTCTAGGAGAAGAGATCAACTTCGGGAAGCTCATCACAAAACCTTCAGAAGGAACAACCCTAAGAGTAGAAGACCTTGTAAAACAGTATTTTCAGACTGCAGAGAAGGTAATTTCTTAGTTACAGCCTACATGTTGAAGAATGGCTCTCTGAGGATAACCGACTTTAATTTGGGATATGTACAATTGATATTTCAAACAAAAGGGATCCTCACAATGTTCCCATGAACTAAGTGGGACAGCAATTAATTATATTCACTTCTGATTACTCTTCATCAAGAAAAATCAGTGTTTAATTAATGGTGTTATTATTGTGGCTATTATTGTTACTGTTGTTTTGCTCTTCCTTTTTATCTCTACTGCATGTTTTTTTTTTTTAAAGATTTTATTTATTTGAGAGAGAGAGAATGAGAGAGAGAGAGAGAACATGAGAGGGGGGAGGGTCAGAGGGAGAAGCAGACTCCCCGCTGAGCAGGAAGCCCCATGTGGGACTCGATCCCGGGACTCCAGGATCATGACCTGAGCCGAAGGCAGTCGCTTAACCGACTGAGCCACCAAGACGCCCTCTACTGCATGTTTCTGAATCCAGGATTTACCTCTCTTGCATTTAGATGTAATTTCAGAACTACTTTATTAAGACAGACACAGGATGGTGAGGCTACTTTCATTGTCATGAGTTTGTGCCACTTTAAGATCTGGTTCTATTAATTGCCTATTACTGCTGAAACAAATTTCCACATAAAACTTAATAATTGAAAATAACGCACATTTGTTATCTTACAGTTCTGTAGGTCAGAAATCTGACACCAGTCTCACTGGCCTAAAATTGAGGTGTTAGCAGGGTTGTGTTCCTTTCTGGAGACTCTAGGGGAAAATCCATTTCCTTATCTTTTCCAGTTTCTAGAGGTGTCCACATTTCTTGGCTGATAGCCTCCTCCTTCCACCTCCAAAGCCAGCAGTATTACATTTCTCTGGCCATTTTCACCCAGTCTGATCTCCCTCCAGCTCCCTCCTTTGGCCTCTCTCTTCCACTTTTAAGGATGCTCACGATTACACTGGGCCCATCTGCACAGTCCCTGGTAATCTCCTGATTGCACAGCCAGCTGATTAGCAACCTTAATTCCATCTCTAGCCAACCGTAGTTTTCCTTTGTCATGTAACATGTTCACAGCCCAGAGATTAGGAAGTGGACATCTTTAGGGGGCTGTTACTCTGCCCACTACACTGGTTAACCTAATCTCTTAATCATCAGCTACCATTTCGGGACTCTACATCACAACCACTCAGTCCTCTGCATTCCCACCTGTCTTAAACACTACTCCCATTTCTTATTTTTACCTGACTTTTTCTGGCTCATAAAATTTATTAGTAGGCTTACTTACTGTCCATTGTTTTGTTTTGTTTTGTTTTCCCTTCAGCAACTAGATAACTTTTTTGTCTTTTCCCCCTGGTAACATTATACTCTAATTTTCCTTGCTCATATAGAATTATTTGGTAAGGAATAGATACTGATTTCTGCATCCAGTGATTTTGTCCTCTTTTACAGAATGTGCAGCTCTCACTTCTAACAGAAAGGGGAATGGGTGAAGCAGTACAAGAATTCGTGGACAAGGAAGAAAAAGACGCCATAGAGGAATTAGTGAAATACCAGTTGGAAAAAACACAGCGATTTCTTAAAGAGCGTCATATTGATGGCCTAGAAGATAAAATCGATGAAGAGGTAACCAGTTTGGGGTGGAGAAGCTAGTTAGACACTCTCTCCTTAAGAGTAGCTTTGACTTTTCTTTCTATTAAACCACTGTTTAACTTCTTTGATTTGTTTAGTTTCCTCATCTATAAAATTGAGTTCGTAAAATGAGGATTAAAGTAGAAAAGGTCTGGAACAGAATCTTAAACATGATTGAAATCCATTAAATGTTAGCTTTGTTCTCCATAGATAGGATCTTCTCTTGAAAATGCTTTAAGATGAACCTTACAGGATGAAAACTTCTGTTCTTTTCAATTTTTTAGTTAGTTTTGTTTGAGATTTTGAATTTCATCTAGAAATTCAAATTCATCTCTAAGCATAAAAGCAGTGGAAGGATCAGAGAAGCTCTTTAGGTTTGACTGCGTAGAAATTGTAAATGTTTGCATGTCAGATTATCAAAAACCAAAATGTATTGACATGGAGAACATACTTGTATGTGGGCAGAAGAAAGGTTGATACTCATAATATTAAAGTACCTTAGTAAATGTTAAGAAAAGTAGTAAACATTTCAGTAGAAATAATGAACAAAGACATGAATAAATGGTTCACAAAAGAAAAACAAATGGTAATAAGCATATGAAAATGGTGTTCAAAGGAACTCAAATGTATTTTTTGTCAGAGTGACAGCAGTTTGAGAAAAGTATTTAGTATGCTGCTATTGGGAGTATCAAGTTTGAGCTGCTGGCATTGAAAGGCAGATTGTCAGTGTTTATCAAGAGGCTTAAGATTTCTCCTTTAACTCAGCCCTTTCCCAAGACAACAGTGAGGTGGAAATTTGTGTATGGAGTAATTTATCTAAGTGTTGTCTGCAGTGGGAAAATTTGGAAAATGTTTTGATGAAGTGAATGTTGACACATACACACTAGATATTGTGCAGCTATTAAAAATAACACTTTTGAAGAACGTGGAGAAATATTTTCAATGCTACGTGGGGAAAGAACGCCATAGATTTAAAACTGTATACACTATGATTCCAGTGATTTTTATTTTATATGTGAGTGTGTGTGTACGTGCAAAGAATGAAAAAAAATATTACAAACATTATCATTGGTTATATTCAGGTAATGGGATTATAGGGGATCATTTTCTGTATCTTCTAGATTCCCTCTGAGCAGAACAAAACATTATTTTTAAAACTCAATCCCTTTGATTTTGATGTTAGTGCCTTTAATTAGTCAACATGGTTCTCTTAAACCTTATGATGTCAGTATGCAACTTGTAATATTCCACGCCAAATACACTGGGTATATGGGGTTCATAAATTTTTGGCAGGGATGCATTTCTCCATTAAGTACCAGAAATAAAACGTGATCATCCCACTCAAATGTAAATATAAAACTATGAAACTCCTAGGAGATAACATAGGAGAAAATCTAGATGACCTTGGGTGTGGCAATGACTTTTTAGATACGACACCAAAGGTATGATCTGTGAAAGAAGGAATTGATAAGCTGGACTTCATCAAAATGAGAAACTGCTCAGTAAAAGACAATGTCAAAAGACTGAGAATACAAGCAACAGACTTGGAGGAGAAAGTATTTGTAAAAGACACATCTGGTAAAGAAATGTTATCCAAAAAATACAAAGAACTCTTAAAACTCAGCAGTAAGCGGCGCCTGGGTGGCTTCTTTGGTTAAGCGTCCGGTTCTTGGTTTCTGCTCGAGCCCTGCGTCACTCTCCGTGCTCAGCACAGAGTCTGCTTGTCCCTCTCCCTCTGCTCCTCCCTCTCTCTGTCTCTCTCAAATAAATAAAATCTTTAAAAAAACAAAACAAGATTCAGCAATAAAAAACAGGCAACCTGATGTAAAAACAGACCAAAGACCTTAATAGATACTTCACCAAAGATTTACAAATGGCAGGTAAGCATATGAAAACATGCTCTATATCATGTCATCAGGGAATCCAGATTAACAATGAAATATGCCACTATGAACCTATCAGAACGGCCAAAATCTGGAATACTGACACAACACCAAATGCTGGTGAGGATGTGGACAACAGGAAAGCTCACGCATTGCTGGTGGAAATGCAAAATGGTACAGTCACTTTGGAAGGCAGTTTGGCAGTTTCCCAAACAACTTAATATACTCTTACCATATGATCCAGCAGTCGTGCTCCTTGGTTGTCTACCTAAAGATGTTGAAAAGCTTATGTTCACATAAAAACCTGCACACAGGTTTATATAGCAGGTTTATTCATAATTGCCAAAACTTGAAAGCAACCAAGATGTCCTTCGGTAGGTGAATGGGTAAGTAAACTGTGAAACATCCAGACAAGGGAATATTATTTAGGCCAAGAAGAAAGGAACTGTCAGTCCGTGAAGAGTCATGGAGGAAACTTAAATGCATATTACTAAGTGAAAAAAACCAATCTGAAAAAGATTGTATGATTTCAACTATACAACATTCTGAAAAAAAGCAAAACTATAGAGATAGTAAGATCAGAGGTTGCAGGGGTTTAGTGAGGAGCAAGGAAAGGGATGAATAGGTGCACAGAGGATTTTTAGGGCAGTGAAACTGCTCCGTATGATACTATAATTTAGGTGGATACATGTTATTATACCTTTTTCCAGACTCCTAGCTCACCAAGAGTGAACAAAATATAAACTGGACTTTGGGGGCACCTGGCTGGCCCCATCATTGGAGCATGCAACTCTTGATCTCAGGGTTGTAAGTTTGAACCCCATGCTAGGTGTAGAGATTACTTAAAAATAAAATCTTAAAAACAACAACAGCAATAGACTTGGAATTTGGGTGATTATGATGTGGCAGTGTAGGTTCATCAGTTATAACAAATGTACCGATTCTGCTGGAGGGAGGTTGATAATAGGGGAGTCTATGTATGTGTGGGGCTAGGGGCATATGAAATCTCAGTACCTCCTTCTCAGTTTTTTTGTGAACCTAAAACTACTCTTAAATTAAAAAAAAAAACAAAACAGATAAACACAAAAGCAAATAACTTAAGCATCCCCACCTGGAGAGTTGTCGGGACTCCTGAGAGGGTGCATAAGGGATGGGGGGATGTAGCTAAGAGCATGGACTCTGAACCAAACCACCTGTGTTCAAAATCAAAACCCTTACTACCTGTATAACTACCAGTGAGTTTCTTAATCTCTCTCCACCTCTGTTTCCTCATCTGTAAAATGGGGGATAATAATAGAAACTCCTTCAAGATTGTTGTGAGGATCCAGAGAATACATGTGAAGTCCCAGAACACTGGCAGCACATGGTACCTAGTCAGTATTTTTACTCTGACTCATTTCTGCAAATGACTTAGCACTTTTGGAATGGTATATACCACCTAGAGCACTATTACATACTATGCCATTTTAAAAAATAATTTTTATCCCTTCTACCAAATCATAACAAATATACTGTCATTTCTTTTAGCTTAAACAACAAAAAAAAGCCCTCTTCACTTCCATTTCCCTTTAGCTACTACTCATCTTCTTTGTTTCTCTTTTATAGCAGAATTGCTTCAGAGTTTTCTATATTTGCTGCCCTGATTTTTCTCCCTCACTTTTCCCTTACACCCATCATCTGGGGGTTTTGATCCATCATTCCAGTGCAGGTGCTCACATTGAAGTCACCAGTGACCGCCATTGCTAAATCCACTGTCAGTTCATCTTAAATCTTCCTTGAACTCTTCTTGAAATCTTTTTCTCTTTGGCTTTAGGACCCCACCCTCTTCTGCTTTTCTTCCTGCCTCATGGTGCATATTCTCAGTTTCTCTTGTTTATTGCATCTCTCCTGTCTCTTAAATTGGGAGTCCCCAGAACTCACTCCTTGGAGCTCTTCTTCAGCTACATATTCCCTTTGTAATCTCATCCAGCTGCCTGGATTTAAATTCTATCTGTTTTGTGGTGATTTTCAAAAGTCTAGCCCAGAGCTCTCTCAGCTCAAGATTTCTGCAGTCAGCGGCCTGCTAGACATTTCTACTTGGATGTTTAATGGACACCTCAAACTATTAACATTCCCAGTCTGAACTGCTGATTTTCAGCGTTTGCTCTATGTGGTGGTTCTCTTTATGTCACCTGGATCCTAACTGTCTAGAAGTCCTTGGCATTACTCAGAATATATATAGAATCTGACTGCTTCTCTAGTCTTCATCACTACTAGAGGTCCATCGCATTGCCATTTCTCACTTAGAGTATTCTAATAGCCTCCAAACGCGTCTCTCTTTTTCTGCCTGTACCCCTCCTCCACCCCCCCCATTCTGTCCTCAGTTCAGCTGTCAGTGATACTAACATATTTCAGATCAAGTCACTCTTGCCTTAAAAAAAAAGTCCTTACAGTTTTTTTTACAAGGCCCTATTCAGTCTAGCTTTTTGTTACTTTCTTACCCTCCTATCATCTTGAGCCACAGCAATCTCCTTGCTATTTCTTAAACATATCATGCATTCTGGTATGTTAAAAAGATTTTTTAAAAATATTTTTTTAAGATTTTATTTATTTATATATATATATATATATAGCAAGGGAGGGCCAAAAGGAGAAAAGGAGAAGGAAAAAGAATCTCAAGCAGACTCCGAGCTGAGCATGGAGCCCAACGTGGGACTCGATCTCACCACCCTGAGATCATGACCTGAGCTGAAACCAAGAGTCGGACACTTAACCAGCTCAGCCACTCAGGCACACCTCTCCCAGTGCCTTTATGTACACTTTTTCCTTTGATTAGAATGTTTTCTCCTTGTTATCCAAGACTCATTCCCTTTGCTCATAAATTACTTTCTCATTGCGGCCTTGCATGATCATTCCGTTCAGATGTGACCTCTCGTCAGTATTCCTCACCCTCTTCCTGCTTTATTTCTCTCTGTATACTTACTGTCTTTTGCAAAGCGTTCACGGGTTCAGATATTTGAACATTGAACAACTCAAGACTCCACTGAGCATACTCATTTAAGGTTTTTATTTAAAGGCAAACGATATGGTGCATCAAGGAAAAGAGTATGGGCAGGCATTAGAGACCTGTGAGAAGCCAGACATAAGATTTCATGTCCTCATTTGCACAGAGTGGTCCCTGGATTGAACACACCAAGATTTGTGCAGAAGTTCCCAGGGAATCTTTTATGCCCCTCTGGTCTCATAATCAAGCCATGCTTCCAACTGGTTATGCAGGTTGAAAACCATCAGTAAACAAACATCAGTAAATAAATGGCTCCCCAGAGATGACAGAGCGTTCTTAGTCTAGCTGTAAATTAACTCAGTCTGACCCAACTTCTAAAACACAATATAACTTCTTATTTTGTTTTTGTTTATTGGCTACATACACAGGCACACAATCCTAAACTCCATGGGGGCAGAATTTGTAACTATTTATTCATTGTTGGATTCTCAGTTCCTACAATAGTGCTTGGCACATAATGGGTGCTCAGTAAAGAGGTGCTAAGTAAATTACTAAACAAATAGAGGTTTTCCCTAATTACATAACTACACTATAAGAGCCTGTTGGGCAGGATTTAAAAAAAAAGAATCTCTAGTTTCCCTTTTGGTTCCAGGACCATCCATTATCAGCAAACAGTAAACATTTAGTAGTTGACTTGATAAAATGATTTTCAGAGTCCCACCCACTTCAGATACTATTTTTTTAAAGATTTACTTATTTATTTTAAAGAGAGTGCACACGTGAGCAGGGGGAGGGGCAGAGAGAATCTCCAGCAGACTCCCCACTGAGTGCAGAACCCTATGTGGGCTCCATCTCAGGACCCTGAGATCATGACTTGAGCTAAAATTAAGAGCTGGGCGCTTAACCTATAGAGCCACCCAGGTGTCCCCAGATACTATTTTTAGAGAGCCTCCTGGATGTCTTACAGCCTAACATCTAAGAATGATATGAGCCATGTAATAAATATTTGAAGCCTCTGAAAGAAGAGATTTTTGCTTTTAACTATTTTACTAAAGTATGACACTCATAGGTATCAGAGTTTTTTCTTTTGCAGTCTAATAGACCCATTTTTCAGTGACATGGAACATTTTGGCAACTGGTAATACAGTTTTGCTTAGGGCCAATATATATATATTTTTAGAGTACAGTTCTGACATTTTAATGTAAGTCACTAGGGAAGTATGATTTCTTTAATCAATCAACAAAACTGTACTTAAATTTCCAAGTTTTTGGTGTACTCTTGAAAACAGTATGAAGGTTCCTCAAAAAGTTAAAAATAGAACTACCCTACTACCCAGCAGTTTTGCACCACTAGGTATTTACCCGAAGGATACAAAAATATGGATTTGAAGGGGCACATGCACCCTGATGTTTATGGCAGCATTATTAACAATAGCCAGACTATGGAAAGAGCCCAGATGTCCATCGACTGATGAATGGATAAAGAAGATATGATATGGTGTACACACACACATACATATATATATGATGGAATATTACTCAGCCATCAAAAAGAGTGAAATCTTGCCATTTGCAGCAACATGGATAGAGCCAGAGTGTATTATACTAAGTGAAATAAGTCAGAGAAAGACAAATACTATAGGATTTCACTCATGTGGAATTTAAGAAACAAAACACATGAACATATGGGAGGCAGAGAGAGAGAGAAACTGTAAGAGACTCTTAACGATAGAGAACAAACTGAGGGTTGATGGGGGAGGTGGGTGGGGGATGGGCTAGATGGTGATGGGTATTAAGGAGGGCACTTGTTACGATGAGCACTAGGTATTATATGTAAGTGATGAATTACTAAATTCTACTCCTAAAACCAATATTACATTATATGTTAACTAACTAGAATTTTTTTATTATTTTTTAAATTTTTTATTGTTATGTTAATCACCATACATTAATTACATCATTAGTTTTTGATGTAACTAACTAGAATTTAAATAAAAATTTGAAACAAAAAATTCCCAAGTTTTATGTTGTAATGGAAAGCATTTCTTAATCAGTTGTAGCCCATTGTTTTATATTTCCGTGATAGGACTAAGCAACATTTTTGATTTACTGTTTTAACACAGGTACGCCGTTTCAGAGAAAGCAGACAAAAAAACACTAATGAAGAAGATGATGAAGTTCGAGAGGTAATTTCTCCTGTAAATTACTATGCTTCTGTGTCAGTTTGTTAAGCTAGAATGACTAGTAGGTTTGTTTAGAATAGTCGACCTTACTTTGGCAGATAGGACTGAGCAGGGATTGGCTGAGGAGATTTATACCAGTGCAGCCTGCCAATATTCGGCTTGCCAGTATTCCTTTTTTATCCTTTTGCTCTTTTTGGAAACTTATTTAATTGTGTTGGGGGGGGGGCTAGGGAGGAGCATACAACAAGAGCCCTTAGTAATCAAAATAATACATAATTGCTATCAGAGCATCTTATTAGCATAAGATGAAATCTTACCCTACTGAGCTGATACTATTTTGGGCAAAAAGGAAGAAACTTGTGTTTTGCTAGCAGTATTACCATAGATAAATATACAGAGTCCACTGGGCTTTCTAAAATGTTGAAATGGGCTTGATCACCATCAATGCTGTCTTTCTCGGTCTCTTCGCAGTTTAGGAACTTCTGGTTAGCGACTATTTACTGAAACTACGGGCCTCTATCTGGTACTTGGTGAATTCACGGTTGAAGATAGATTTTTCGGGTTTTCTGATTGTCCTTGGTGTTTCATTATTGCTATCTAGTATGTAAAGGTTATCTGATAACTAATTTATTGTTGAGATTATCTTGATTGCTTTCATTCGTATCTGTTACAACTTAGCGATTCTACTTTGCATTAGCAATACAGATATGGAAAATGTGTGGTTCGTGTCCAGCAGAGACTCTTGGTTTAGTAGGTGAGGCAGATATATGTAGAAAGAAAATGTTAAACCTTAGCATGACCTAAAGGGTCACCTTCGCTGAATTAATAAACAGTCCTGCTAATCCATTGTCATTTTCCTAAGTATTTCAGAACTGCTCCTGATAGGCGGTGAATGGGAAAGAGCTGGAGCACTCGACACATCCCTTAAATTAACTTTTATATCTTCTACTATTTTCTCTGCTGCAAGCAAAAAAGAATAAGACACCCTTCTCCCCCCCCCACCCCCACCCTTTAAATATTTTTTGCCTTGTTTTAAGCACACTCCTTAGGTAAAAGTCAATACCTGGGACACTCAGTTTACTCCTTTTTCCTCTGAACTCTCTTCCAAAGGAATCCCTGTTTAGTGGTTGATCTACTGATGACTACTAGGTAATACCACAGCCTTTAATGTGAAGCAGTTTTAGATCCTGACAGAGGAAAAGTCAGTTATCAAATAATTCTTCGGTACTGGGACACCTGGGTGGCTCCGATGGTTAAGCGTCTGCCTCCAGCTCAGGTCATGATCTCAGTGTCCTGGGATCAAGTCCCATGTCCGGCTCCCTGCTCAGCGGGGAGTCTGCTTTTCCCTCTCCCTCTGCCTGCTGCTCGTCCTGCTTGTGCTCACTCTCTCTGTCAAATAATAAAGTCTTTAAAAAATAAAAATAAAATTGTTTGGTACCATCTCTAAAGGCCATGAGATAGACTTTTTTTCTCTTTTTTAAATAAAATTCCAAGTCTATATCTGATTTACTTCATCGTCTGTCAAACCGTACAGGCTACTTAGGATTTTAGGCTGATCCAATAATGCGCCTTACCTGGAATGTTAAGGAATAGGAACGTAGCATTTTGGGTGTTTTTTCTTTTCTCTGTCTTGTTACAGAAATTTGATGCCCTGTGCTTAATGTGGGGAAGTCACCCCCCCCCCCAAATTATGTCCCAGTTCATTAGAATACGTAGGAATAGCAGTATAGTAACTCAGTTAATAATATTTCTTTAGAGAGGATATGTGAGGATAATCTTCTCAGTGTCTAGTTTTGTGTCAGGTTTCTTCCCTTTGTACAACTTACACTGTCTCCATCATGTAATATGGGGAACTTTGCAACATTAACTAACATTACCAGCGGTAGTGCCAGTACCGGCTACAGTTTTTTCCCTACCTCCTTCCTCCCTTTCGTGAATAGCCTTCAGTACTTGATCATAGAACTAAAAGCTCTCACCATCCACTGAATTTCACAGTCAGCATTCACGATGTCAGAGTCATTCCCCTACATCAGTGTAGTGGAAAAAGCAGAACGCGTTACCTACTTGGTTTTATTCATTACTGTTTTAAAGGGGAAAGGGCAAATGGTATTCATTAAATTTTCATTTACTGATTTTTTTTTCTAGATGTGTCATGTACACAATTTCAGTTTCCATTTTACAAATGACACTGAGAGCATAGTAAAGGTTACACGGTGGGGTGGAATTTGAACCTATTTCTACCTTCAAGTCTAGACTTTTCTACCATACTACGTCCAGAACTTTGTATTATAACAACATTAACATAATGCATGGCCAATGAATGGCTAAAAATGTGAAATTTCTGAAAGTTTTTGATGTGCAGAACATCAAAAATCACTGTCCCTCAGAAGCATAGATGGAGCTCTGCTGTACTACTTACAAGATGGTTTTGGGGAGCTAAGAGGAGGAAGCTAGAGATTAGGGATCCCTTACCACATTTATATTTGTATTCATCTTACAGAGCACCCTTAAAGTACAAAAGAGTTTGCCAAATAGCAAGAATGAATACTAGAAGAAAGAAACGACTCCTGGTTCTTGGATCATTTAAACTTAACTAACCATTTCAATTTAACAGATTACAGAAACATTTCTTTGCATGCTCTTTGTGTTTGGAGCCCCTAAACTGTTTTTCATTAGTCTTTTAAAGAATTAGAGTGAATATTTTATAAAAGGAAGGTAGTAGAGGACCTGACAAATTGCATTTGGGAGTTTTACAGAAGAAAGCACTTTTGGGTTTAGATTTTTCAGCTATATTTTAAGACTTTAGCAGGTAATTGGGGTTTCCTAGGTAATTTGTCAGCTTGCCATAGGTTGTTATAAATGGTCTTAGCATACTATTTAGGACTTGGAGTGGAATTTGAGACTTTCCTGAGCTAGAACTCCCAACCGTGTAGAATCATTTAGCTCAGAACATGAATCCTAGTACCATGTTTAAATTATTTAAACAGACAAAAGCATTAGTCATTCCAAGAGGCTTTAAAACCTCTTGTTCACATTGAAAAGCTCTAAGTATTTTCTTTAACTATAAGTTCACATTTAAATAAAAGGCCAAACAGTAAATGTTTTGGGCTTTGCAGGCCATATGTGGTCTTTGTCACATTTTCTTCTCTGTGTATGTGGTTGGGTTTTTGTTGTTTTTTTTTTAAATCCTTTAAAAATGTAAAATCTATTCTTGGTCTGACCCATAGTCTGTAGTTTACCCAGCCTCTGGTTTCCTGTGTTCTGCCTGGATTTGAGGCAGCATTGATACCCTCTTTCAAACTGTAATACCAAACACTATCAACAAAGTGAAAAGGCATCCCGTAGGATGGGAGAAGATACTTGCAAATCATGTATTTGGTAAGTGATTAATATTCAGAACGTACAAAGAATTCGTAAAACTCAGTCACAGCAAAAAGTGGATGAAGGACTTGAATAGACATTTCTACAAAGAAGATAAACAGGTGACCAATAAGCACATGAGAAGATGCTCAACATCACTAGTGAAATGCAAATCTAAACCACAAAGCCACTTCACATTTATTAAGATGAATATTACAAAAAAGAGAATAGTGTTGCCACGAATAAGGAGAAATTGCAAGCCTCATGCATTGCTGGTGGGAATATAAAAGCTTCTGTGGAAAATAGTATGATTTCTCAAAAAATTAAAAATAGAATTATGTGACCTAGCAACTGTACTTCTAGGTATTTACCCCAAGGAATTGAGAGCAAGGACTCAGATATTTGTACACCCAAGCTTATAGCATTCCCAGTAGCCAAAAGGTGGTAGCAATTCAAATGGCCATCAGAAGATGTACAGATAAACAAAATGTGGTGTGTATGTGTGATGATGGACTTCTGCTTAGCCTTAAAAGGAATGAAGTTCCAGTAATGCTATAATATGGATGAACCTTGAAAACATTATACTAAGCGAAGTAAGACAGGTGAAAGTATTAGTATTAGAAAGGATGAGTATTACATGATTCCACTTAAATGAGATCCCTAGAGTAGTCAAATTCATATGGACAGAAAGTAGAATAGTGGTAATGAGGGGAAGGGGGTGGCTAGGGAATGGAGAGTTGTTTTTTAACAGGTATGGAGTGTCAGTTTGAAATGACGAGAAAGGTCTGGAGGTGGATGACGGTGATGTTGTACAACAGTGTGAATGTGTTTTTAATGCCACTGAATTGTACACAATTGTAAGATGCTCTATTTAATGGTATATATATTTTGTCACAATTTAAAAAAAACAGGTGTACTACCAGGATAGGTTTTCGAATCTCACAAAAAAGCATATGGAAACATTGTCCTACCAGTGGCCCTGACCCTGCACTTAGGATGGCTGTGGACCTACACTCCTGAGGCCAATTAGAATCCCACTGCTAATTCTTAGAAGTAACATACTTCCTATATATCTGTACACTCCAGAGCCTGTTGCACAGAAAAGTGGAGTTAAAATATTTGAGTGTCATATTAAATGATAAAATGAAGGTATGGTATTTAGACAAAGGGAAGGTATAAAATTTGGAAATGATGGTGGGTAATTCATTCCAAGAAAGAATCATAAAAGGTCACATGCATCTTAAATTTTTGCTAGATAACTGCCATATCATTCCAGAGATGTGACACCAGTTTGCATTCTAACCAGTATTGGGGGTTGCTTATTTCTCCACATCCTTGTCATCCTGATGTATTATGACATCTTTTGATCTTTACAAATCCGAGGGCTGAGGAAATTGTTTCTTACTATTGTTTTTAACCCGTACTTTTGTTGCTAGTGACTCAGCGATTTTTATGTTTATAAACCATTTGTATTTACGTGAAACACCTGGTCATGTTCTTCGCCCAGAAATTTTTGTTCGATTTGGTTTTTGTGCCGAGGACATTGGTCTCTCTGTAAGAGCACTCACAGGAGAATGTGCACACACTCTATGTGTGTGTGGGGGGGTAGCATATTTTAGGGTATTTGTCGTGTAAAAGAAGGGTTTTGGAGTTTCTTCAAATCCAGAATGGGTGATGAACTAAGTGCCTTTTTGACATCTGTGGAGATAAACGTGTGGGATTTTTCCTCCGTTCTATTAATTCGGCAATAAATTGAATTATATTAAAACATATTCTATTATTGCCCCATCCTTGTTACTACTTTGTGAACCTTCTGGTAATGGGTATCCTGGTTTTTCCATATGTTCCTGGATTCTCTTTGTTTGCTTGAATATTCATAAGTGAGATCCTGTAATCTTTTTGTGCATGCAGTCCTTTGTCAGTTTTTCAGTACCATGTTATGCTGGCTCTGTACAAAGAAGTTGGAAGCTTGCTTTCTTTATGCTCTGGGACTATGGAAAGAGCAGTGGAATTATCTGTTCTTTGAAGATTTGATAGAATACCTGTGAAACTTTGTGGTTGTGGTTCCTTTTCCGGGGGTGTTGTTCCTTTAACAAATTTCTCCCATTATTTGATATTATTATTAGTCTGTTGAGACTATGTGTCTCTTGTTGGATCCGTTTAGGTCATTTATTTTCCACATTACTTAGAATTGAAGAGTATTTTGTCAGGATTCTTTTAATTTCCCCTCAATCTTTTTTCCCCTCCATTCTGATTTTTAATGATGTATACTTGTTTTTTCTTCCTTTTTATTAAGTTAGTGATTTTTATCAATGTGACTTCGTCCCAGAGGATCAGTTCTTAAATTTACTAATTTGAATGGATTTTTGCTTAAAATTTGTTTATGATTGTATCTTTATTGATTTCTCATAATTCCTTTTGGATGGACTTTACTTGTCCTATGTTATGGAATATCAAATCTACTTATTTTCATTCATTCTTTTTTAACAGGCTGTAGGCTTTCTTTATAAACACTGCTTTGTTTTGTATATTCCAGTATACAATATTTTTTTTTAAAGATTTTATTTATTTATTTGACACAGAGAGAGACAGCGAGAGCAGGAACACAAGCAGGGGGAGTGGGCGGGAGGCTTCCCGCGGAGCAGGGAGCCCAATGTGGGGCTCGATCCCAGGACCCTGGGATCATGACCTGAGCTGAAGGCAGACGCTTAACGACTGAGCC